TTCTTGCCCTCTTCAAGTTGGGAGTCAGAATGATCTCTCTAAATCCTATTACGATGCCAATTTACTGCTTAAAACTCTACAGCAGCGGTTCTCAAGCTTCCTAATGCCACCACCCTTTAATACAGTTCCTCGTGTTGTGATGACCCTCAACCATACAATTATTTTTGTTGCTACTTCATAACTAATTTTGCTACTGTTATGTCTCGGGCGACCCCTGTGAAAGGGTCGTTCGACCCCCAAAGGGCTCGCGGCCCACAGGTTGAGAACCGCTGCTCTGCAGTGTCCACAGCGCTCTTCCAATAAAGTCCAAAAGTTAATAAACATGGTTTTCTAAGCCCTTTTGTGATCTGGCCCTGCTTCACCTCCAGACTCCAGCCTCTTCCTTTCTGCAATCCGTGTTCTAGATTTATAGGTCTTCTGTCAGTTCCTCCAACTTGCCACGCACATTTACCTCGGGGTTCTGCACATTCTGTTTTGCTCCCTAGAAACCCTTCCCACCACTCTTGTTCCAGGGTTAATCAGCCTTCAGATAGCAACTCAAATACTTTCTGAGAGAATATCTCTAACACTCTCAGCCTTCTCAGTAACATACTCTTTCATGATATGCGGCACATTCCCACTTACTTGTTCGATGGCTTTCATGGAAGACATGAAGGCCAAAACAATCCAGTTCTACTTACTGCTAGATCTCTGCCATTTTACTTGTTGATACTCTGGTTTCTCTACAGATCATATAAATCTTTCACCTTTTACTTGTTGAATGAATCAGTATATGATTGATTGAAAGGATCAATCAACAAATAGAAAAGGACAGGTGCTTTGTCCGGTTGGTCTTTGACCCAGATTCCTAGGATGGAGGTTCTAAACTTTTTGAGTTTCCAGGGTAACAGGAGTATCTTTGTTATTCGTGGTGGGCCTGTGGGTCACACCTGAGTTTATATGACCAAGATGATTCAGAGTAGGGGTCAGTCCCCAGAAGGACCAACTGTGGTCCTAGAGGGTTGGGGCTCTGAGCCAGCCCAACCTCTGGAAATGGGAGGGGCACTGCCAACTGAGTTCAATCACCCAAGAAGTGACTCATGCCTACATAATGAAACCCCAATAAGAAATGGGCACCGAAGCCCAGCAGAGCCTTATGGTTGGTGAACTATCAATGTGTGGGGTGTGTGATACGTCCTGACTCCACAAGGAGAGGACCAGAAGCTCTGTGTTCCAAACCTTCTCAGATCTTGCCCTGTGTGTCCCTTCATTGGATTGGTCTTGATTTGTATCCTTTGTGCTAAAACTGTTTTCCTAGGTTCTGTGAAATGTTCTAGCAAATATCAAACCTGAATTTGTAGTTGGTTGGTCAGAAGTGCAGGTGCCCTGGGGAGCCCAAACTTGTAGCAAGTATCTGAAGTAAGGGCCATATTGTTGGGGACTGTGCCCCTGAACTTATGGAGTCTACACTAACTACGGGACAGAATTTGATTACACACAAAAGGGAAGTTTTAGAAGTATCCTAAACACCTAATAAGCACGAAAATCATACCCCAGTATAATAGAGATACTCCTCCTTCTCAGGAAACTATCCTGTCATGCTCATGCAATTCTTCGCTCTGTAATGAGGCTAACAGCCTCTGTCCTTTCTTGGGCCTGAGCCATTTTATACCTGGGCTACAGGGTGGGGGTGGAGGGGGTGTGGGATGGAGAAGGGGATTACTTCCAAAAGTATGAAGTTTATCTTAACTAATATTTTTTCTTTTGCCCTTCTATTCTTCCTCCCCTCCGCTCCTCACTGATCACTACCCTACACCTATAGCTTCCTCTTCACGCCTCTCGTCTATTTCAAAACGATGTCTTCCCGTCTTTCACTAACTAAAACAGCCGTTTCCTCGGGGTGACGGATCCAGCAAGTAGACAGCTAATAAACTGACTGTGCTAATCCCAATAAGATATAAATGAAGATGTCATCGGTTCTTTCAGAGCTACTTACATTTCAAAAGAAGACAATTTAAAACTAATTTCTAATCAGTCAAGTTCCTGAGAATGGCAGGAAGACAATCTGCACCTTTCTATGTTTCTAAACCCTCTGAGGAAGCCGCGTATGACTTCGTGGTATGCTCAAGCTTCCTTCCTTCCCGGGGAACCTGGAAGTTTCCCTCAACCCAGCCCTGGAGCCCTGTGGCTTCCTCTCCCAGGCCTACATCTATTTCCTCTCCCCTTGGTACTTTAGGGAGAACTAGAAGGAAGCCACCCCAATTAATTACCTGGGAGTTTGCCATTTGGAAGCTAACTGGTCCGTTCCCTCAAGTAGCTAATAATACTCTCGGGTCATTTGTTACGAAGCTTTAGAAACTTAGGTATAAACAGATACATAATCCTTTCTTTAGTTAACAGCTCCCTTGCCCCACACTTCCTCCTATAAAAACCTTCCATTTTGTACAACCCCTCGGAATGCCCTTCTAGTTGCTAGATGGAATGCTGCCTAATTCATGAATCCCTTAATAGGGCCAATTAGAGTTTCAAGTTTACTCGGTTGAATTCTGTTTTTTAACAGTAATAAATAGGCCTGAATATGCTCAGCCGGCATGGCATCACAAGCCACCCTGTCTGTACCAATGGGCTCTCTTGTTTCTGCAACTTACATAAACCATGACAACGTGAGATGCACAAGACCATGACAGCACTCGGCATGAAAATTCTCAGTCTAGGATAGGATGCATCAAAAGGCTGAATAAAGCTAGGGTTGATTTTTTTTTTTTTATTAAATGAATCACAAACAAAGTAACCCTATTTTCCCCAGAGGACCCTTCCATGTTTAATTCCAGAATAAAGAATGTCACCTTTTAAAAAGTTAAAAACTCACAGCAGTGTAACTTGAAGAAAGTATTATCTATGGCATTCTTTAAATCCAAGGCTACTCCTTTGGCCTTGGTAAATGAGGCCTCCCGCGACTCATTGTGCAAAGTCCTCCAAACCAATCTGGAGCGCACAAGAGAGTCTCTTGAGGAATCAACTCAGCATTATCACAGTCCCATTTTGTTAACCAATTGTTTGCTTACTCAAAGCAATACTGATGTCATTTTCTCTGAATAGTTGAAGTGTTTTAAGCCTTCTCAACTCCGGGCTTCCTGGCATTTGCCTGAGAGAAACCGGCAGATGCTTACTTATTTTACATAACAGCATTAAGCATCCAGCTTCTCAACCTTACGCATTTATAGAGTCTTATCAAGTTGCGGTGACCTTTCAGTATAAATTCACACAATTCATGGGTGTTTTCTTTCCACTTATCTTATTGAAAACTTAATGTTTCTCTCATGACAAAGGGCTTTCATGTTTTCCTTGGGAGTTCAGGAAATATTAATTTTCTTTATTAAGCACTGATGATACTTTGGTGGTTAATGCTATTCAAACAAATGGAGCGTACCTTGGTGATTTATTTTTCTTTTTATCATAACTGGTTCTGTTAATACTCAGTAGAAAAAAAAATTCCTTCCTATAACTTAATATGGATTGCTAGATCTTACCGGAAATCAATCCGTATGTTTATTATTTTAGGGAATGTTATAAGGGAGAGACTGACATTAAACAGAAGAGGTAGGAAAATATAATTATTTTCCCCTTACTGGACAGAGATGGGGGCAGGTGTGATCTGGATGGGGATGAGATGGGGAAAAGGTCAAGGCCAGCCTTCTGAGGGAAGGAGGTAGGGCTGTGAATAAAGATATGTTAGAAATACTTTTTATAGCTTCCTCCTAAATTTTCCCCATTTACAGCCCAATAAAAAAATAATATCAGCCCAACTGGTGCAGCTCAGTGGTTGAGCATTGACCCATGCACCAAGAGGTCGCCAGTTCGATTCCTGGTCAGGGTACATGCCCAGGTTGTGGGCCTGATCCCCAGTGGGGGGCATGTAGGAGGCAGCCAATCGATGTTCTCTCTCATCAATGTTTCTATCTCTCTCCCTCTCACTTTCTCTCTAAAATCAATAAAGAAAAAAAAATTAAAACAAAAAACAATAGCAATTACCAGGTTCACACCAATTTAGGCAGTGAGATAAAGAGGTTTAGTGAAGGAAAGTTCTTCTGAACTACATACCCTGTTTCTTCCCAGAAATGGCTCAGAGTATTGAATAACTTTTAAAAGCCCCTTTCTTGCCTTAAAATCTGGTGAATCTTTTCCATGACAAGGTACAATACTTCCATAGCTCAGAAAATCACTGGTTTTTGGTAATAAGAGCAAGGTAGCTGAGGTGCAACAAAAGAAAGTAGTAGACTTAGATTAACAAAAATAGAGGGCTGCCCTGCTGGTGTGGCTTGGTGGTTGAGTGTCATCCCATGGACTAAGAGGTCCTGGTTCGATTCCCGGTCAGGGCACATGCCCGGGTTTTGGGCTCGATCCCCAGTGGGGAGCCGTGCAGGGGGCAGCCGATCGATGTTTCTCTCTCACATCAATGTTTAAAACAAAAAACAAAACAAAACAAAAAATAGATGGCTGAATACCAGTTGTACCGCTGTCTATGTGACCCTAGGCAAGTCCCTAAGCTCTGTAAGCCACACCTTCAACTGGGGTGATGTTTCCCTCAAGGGGACAAAAATTGGTTTGGAGCTAGGGTATATGAGATCTTATCTTTTAATGTACGAAACACAGATATACATACATAAATGAGAAGCATTTTTCCGAACATTCATTTCTCAACTGTAAATATGGGTCAACATCCTCCACCTTAAAGAATTATTATGATATAACTATAAATATATACAGAGAAGGAGAGGCTAGAAATAAAGCAGGCAAGGAAAACAACCAAATGTAGAATAGCCATTAAAACTAAAAACTCAAAGATTCAAGTATATATAGATTAATATCATCTAATAATCAACTGTATTAATAAGAAAATTTTGGACTCAGTAGTCATTTTACCAACTGAGTACCTAACCTTCAAAAAGAAAACATTGGGTCATAGTAAAAGTCAAACAATAAATGCAAGAAGAATCTATAAATATGGCAAAGATACAAACCTAAAACACCAATTTTCAGGCCTGCCAAGCTTGTTTTAATTTTATCATAAATATCTTCTGATGCAAAGTCAACAGCAATGGTCCTTGTTTCCACTTTGAATTTCTCTCCTGGGGAAAAACACAAATGGGGAGAGAGGAAGAAAATTAATACATGGCAATTAAGCATTTGATGCCATTATCCTTTCAAACTCTTTTTACCCCCCAATCTGATATGCAATTTTAAGAAATCAGAGACCATCTACGAGAGGATACAGAGCAGTGGCTCTCAACCTTCCTAATGCTGCGACCCTTTAATACAGTTCCTCATGTTGTGGTGACCCCCAACCATAAAATTATTTTCATTGCTACTTCATACTGTTATTAATCGCCATTGGAAATATTTGTTTTCTGATGGTCTTAGGCGACCCCTGTGAAAGGGTTGTTTGACCCCCGAAAGGGTCGCGATCCACAGGTTGAGAACCCCTGATATAGAGTCAACACAATAGTTCTGCAATAAAAATTCCAGTGCTGTCAGAGCTGGCTGGATGTTCCTTAATCAGTTCTCTTTCCAAAAATCAATGACTACCTTTTAGACCCTTTTGGAACAAATAATAAAATCATAATGTTATATACCCTTTAAATATCACTGGTTTTGTGATTTTATTTACTTATTTATATTTTTTCTTTATTGATTTAGAGAGAGAGATAGAAACATGGATGAGAGAGAACATCGATTGGCCACCTCCTGTATGCCTCCCACTGGAGACCAGGCCCACAACCTGGGCATGTGCCCTGACTGGGAATCAAACCGGTGACCTGTTGGTGCATGGGTCGAAGTTCAACCACTGAGTCACACCAGCGGGGCACTGGTTTTGTGATTATAATTGCAAACTGATGCTTCATTATCTCAGAAAGAAATTTTTATGTTGCAAAATATTTTCAAGTGTGAAATATTAAAACAAAAGTTCATCTTATCAAAATGAAAACAAAATGTATGTGATTGTATTGGAATTTAGGAGCTTGGTTAATAGTTAAATCACCATATTAAAAGATCCACACAAAACAGTACAGAGCTACAAAGTGACACAAGAAAGACTTTAGGGTTCTACTTTGCCCAGGACCATTAAGTTCCAAACAGAGCTCATGGAAATAACTGACTGAGAAAGGAGACCTTGGGGAAACAAAACTCATCGGAGGCAAACTATAATGTTTACATCTGCCTTCACCATGAGCCCCTCTGAAAGATGGCATGGACCGTGAGGTCACCCACACATGGGTACCAACTTCATTCCCATACTTACTTGCTTAAAGGACTTTGGGCAGGTCATGTGTCCTCTCTGAGTCTGTCACATCTGCATCCTCTATGAGTTTCAGTGCTCCCTTGAGAAAATGAAGGTAACACTACCCAACTACGGTGCGAGCCTCAGTGTTATCCACGGCATACGGGAGGCAACCCATAAGTGTTAGTCTCTTCTTCCTCTCCTCAACCAACCCCACACCCCCATCACTTAGTGAAGTCCAGTAGGCTAAGAATGCTTATCTTTGGAAACTGGTGAGAATTCAAAAGAGTTCATCTAAAAACCCAGCCTCCAAAAATAAATGTCTCTCCACTTGCAGGCAGTTGGTGTTGGCTCACAGAGTGTGCAGCACTAACCCACAAAGGAGGTTTCCACTCTTGATCTAAGAGGATTTATGTCTAAAACCAAAGAGCTGGTTCATAAGACATGTGGTTCTTAGTTAGACTCAATGAAAAGTATTGACCCTACGTAGAAATCCATGAATAAACTAGAGAGGATAATAACTGATCTGGAAAATGCTTTGTCTGGTGTTAAGGGCATACTTACTATTCCAATATAAGTGAGTTATTCCATGTGTTCATGTGATGGAGAGCCGGACAGATACAGAGCTGTCCTTTCACAATACCTGGTCCAACAGTCCTCACTACAAATGGTTTGCAGAATTTACCACCAGTAAGTAAAAAACTCTGTGTTTATTAGGGCCACAAATTCATAAGGAAGAAAAAAAAATCAAAAGGCTAAAGAATACCTTTTATTAAATGAAAAATTCTATTCAAGAATAAGACAAATGTATCTCTTTATTTTGAGAAAACCAAAGTATGTTGCCATCCTAGCACTATATACTGACATTTAGGAAAATTTCTCTCTAGTAATAAAAGCCACCTCACAACCCCTGAATCAAATGTACTCTTTTAAATCTCACAGGATTTGGTGAATGTACTTACATTGCACTCTGGTATATAGATATGCTGCTAAAAAAAAAAAAAAAATTCAGAGACCCCTTTGGAAAGAATGTTATTTAATAAGAAACCTCAAGTAAGCTCTTTCTTTGTGTTCACATTAGAATAAGCAAAATGACTTCCGATGCAAGTTTTTCAAGACAAACAATTTTGAACTTATACCTGGATTACTATGAATCATGTTCTGGTTCAGTTAACACTGCTGTTTTTCTCTTAACCACCTTCACTGCCTCTATTGTGGGCTTTCTCTTTTTTAAACATAGATCAGATCATGCCCCTCCCCCTCACAGACCTCCCCAAGTTCCATCTCACTTACAGTCAGAGCCAAAGTGTCTTTGGTGACAACACAGTACTTCTCCAAACTCATCTCCGCCTACTTACTCCCCCAGCTGCTCCCCAGCTCTAGGCACAGAGGCCCCTAGCAGTTCTTTAAACACGGAATGTTCTCCAAATACACTTAAGGCTTCTGCTCTTACTGTTCCCGCTGTCTGGAATGCTCTTTTGCATCCCTTGTCTCTGTCAGATCTTTAAGCAAATGTTACCTTCTCAGAGAAGCCTTCCTTGACCACCCTTCAAAAAATGCAACCCGTCCTCCCCTAGCAATCTTTGTCCCTCTCCCTGCTTTGCTTTATTCTGTTCCACAGACTCCCCTCTATATACCATGTATTTTCATAATGCATGTGTGTGTTGTTGTCCATACCCACTGGAAATAAGCTTTGTGAAGACAAGGACCTGGGTCATTGTTGCTCAACAATGTCACAAAGGACAATGTTCCACCCTCCTCTCCTTTTTCCTGAGGCTGGCTTCCACCTGGTTTCAAGAGGGCCACTGCACTTTCAAGTGTCCCATGCAGATGGCCATGTTCAGAGGTAGAACCGGGGTGTTCCTGCTATATGACCCTTTTACAGTAAAGAAAACTTCCCCAGAAGAATCCAGCAGGTTCCCTTCACATTTCCTTTCCCAGGATTATGGGATGCATGCTCTTGACCATGGATGGGCTCTGAGGACTCCACGACCTGCCCCACTCCCACCACCAAGGTGTGTGAGTCAAAAATAGTAGCACATATATAAGAATGGGACAGGAGGTGCCTCTCTCTGGCACAAGCAATCAGAAGAGATTTATGACAGGTGTCCTAAAAGGTCAAGGTGGGAGGTAGCTGGCTTCCCTAGGACCTGGGGAAATAAATCTAGACATTGTCCCCCTTCCCACAGCCTGTCAGCCCTAATCTGACCCTGCCAACAGAAGTCAAACCAGATGCACAAGAACCTTCTAATCTTAAACATCAGCACACGGCTACACTAAGCATCTGGACCAGAAGTGAGGACCATGTACACACAGTACAGTATAGTACCATACACACACAATTTTCACCTTCACCACCTCCCACACCCAAGGCTCTTCATAAGACCACCGGTCCATAACTCAGGAACAGCCCAGCCCGTTGCTGGGGAAGAACTTTACCAAAGCCTTTGGAGAGGTACCTCTGACTACTCTGATCCTTGTCCACCACAAAGGCCCAAGGGATGCCAGCCTCTGTCAAGTCTTTCCTTCAGGGTGGGAGCTGTGATACTTAAAATCAACACCCACAAGTGTATAGGATAAAGATACACAAACAAGTGAATTTGGAGGTTGCAATGGGAACAGATGAGCCACTCATTTGTCCCTTTAGAGAAACGCTGGGTACCCCAGCTGCTGGAGTATCATCAGTAGACAGCTTTCAGGTTATCAGCCCCTTTGGGGTGTGTCTTGGCTTCAGAGAGTTGTCTGAACAAAGATCATGCCTTGCCCATGATGTCCATATCCAAAGATTGATTGAGGAGGGCGTATAAAGCCACCGGATGGCTTGTACCTACCATATTCTGATTCCAAAATGACAGTCTGTTCATTATACTATTTTCTGCTCTCTTGTAATGCCCTAACTTTAATTATCCTAGCTTTACAATAAGTTTTAATATTTCTGACAATGCAAGTCTGTTATTATTACTCTTTTTCAAAAGTTCATTGGTTCTCCTTACTTGTTTAGTCTGTTTTTATTGGGGCTGCATGAAACATTTCTATTAAATTTATGAAGAATGACAATGTGGCATTCAATGTCTCACAGTAAAACTCTTTTGGTTATAAGTTCTTAAAGAATTGAAGAATTGAAGAACTCCATTATTAGAATACTACTTACCATTACACAAAGATACTCAATGCTGCTGATTATTCTTACTGATTTGAACCATTCAGTATTTGAAAGTGGATGGGCTGGCACCCTGCTCCTTACAGTTGTGGCCAAACACAATCATGCCCCCTTCCCATTTTTCAGGTTGAAATGGTTCTAAGATGGTCTTGGCCCACTGCCTCTTACCCTAGTGGCTAAAACCAAAAACCAAGGAGCAAAACCCTCTGATAATTGACATGAGCTGTTCAAGGCAGTCAACTCACTAGAAATAGAGGCAACAAATCAACTCTGGCTTAAATAGTAGGGAATGAAGCTAAGAAATACCTGGGGTGATGAAACCATTCATTCCCTTTTTATCTACTATTCCACTGAAAGCCACATAACCACAATTGTGGAATTGTGGAAAGCAAATATTATTCATAACCATAGGCCTATATAACAATGAATGCCCCACAGTTTCAAGCCACTCCATCACCTCCAAACACGGGGGCCACGTCCTACGGTCACATTGCTGATGTTTACTCAGAGGATCCTGAATTAGTTCCAGGGCAAGTCTGGAATTGACAGAGAAGGAACTAAACCCATACATAGTCTCACGATGCTAAGAAAACACCTCTCAATATCAAACCTCAAAATGTCAGGAACATATTCTGAATAGTCTTATGTTTAACAAACTTCTGGTCTGGCCATCATTCTTTTCATTTTGC